GAGACGAGTCGCCTTGGAGACGGAGCCGCGAATGTGCGAGAAACGACAGTCAAACGGGCCCCTGAAGAAGGCGCGCTTCCAGCTGCCTCTCAACGAGGACGTCTCGAGGAGTCCGCTCATCTCGCGGCGCCTCAGACCGACGCTTTACGCTCTCCGACACGGCGCCGCAGTACGCCAGGCGCTGGGTCCGAGTCCAGTCTCGGGACTCGACAACGTCGGCGATCTGACGACCGGACCGCCGCCTGGCAACGGCTTTCTCTACAACCTGTTGTCGGGCCGAGAGGACGCGCAAACGGCTCGACGGCGAAGCCGTCTCTGTCCCGACGCGACGACGGGCCGCACCGCTTTCTCGTCCTCTTCCTCCACCTCCTCCGCATCGTCGACGTCAACGACGCTGGTCGTCGGGTGCAGAGCCCCAGCCAACAGCGTTGCCTTGGTAGCCGACGCCTGCGGGACTCGAGAAACCGGACCACCGAACGCGGAGAAGCCGCTCGACTTGTCCTCGTGCCGCAGTCGAGCCCGGCGCCGAAGTCTGCTGACGGCCGGTCCGACAGACGCCGACGCCGCGGCGTCCTGCTACTGCGGCCACGAGGCGTCCGCCAGCCTGCATCCGTGTCCCGGCAACCGAGTCCGGCCAACCGAAGGAGCCGACGTCGCAGGCCGTCTGCCCGAGCCCGGTCTGAGCGCATGGACGTGGCCATCGGTCCGGCCGACTTTGCTGGCGTCGCCGTTGACTCGGCGTCTCGGGACTCCGACCGACTTGCTGAAAAAGCCCGCCGACGAGGCCAACGCCGACGTTGACGTTGACGTTGACGTTGACGTTGAAGTTGATGTTGACGTTGATGTTGATGTTGACGTTGACGTTGGCGAGACAACCAAACGAAGTAAGAGGTCGCCGCCGAAGCGGCGCTGGCGACTCAAACAGGCCCATGCGAACGACGACGTCAACGACGGCGAGGCTAAAGGCGAAGAGGTAGAGCAGAGGAAGAGGGCGACTTTGCTGTGGCGACACGGACTGAGGCACGAGCACGGTTCTTCGTCGCCACCAAACCGTCCGGTCGCCAACTTGTCGGCCTTGGCGCCGGTCGGCAATCCCCTTTTGTCGTTCGATCGCTCCACGAGGCCGGATGCCTCGCCGACCGACGCTT